TGTGAGGTTAAACCATGAAACTGCTCAAGGAGTCTTCACAGCTGAAGGGCTCCAGCTCACAGCCTGCCTTCTGCTGCTGCAGCCAACCCTGACAGAGTCCTCCCTGTAGAGTCAGGGGACAGGCTACTGCAGGAGGCCAGAGGGAGGGAAGGGGACCTAGGGAGAAAGATCAGGCAGGAATTCCTCAAGATGTTTCCTTAATGTTACTTTTAAATGATTTTAAAAATAGAAAGTCCTGAAATTTCATTCTGTGAGTGTCTTGCTTCCTTTTCCCCTTCTGAGTTGTCACCAAAAATGGAGCATTAGATGGATGTATATGTGGTAAACTTGAAGTACCTGTGGGCTGTGATATTCTTACCAAAACCCTGTGAGATAGTTGGATCCTTCCCCCAGTTTCCAGAAGCGACTGAGACTCAGAATGGAGGAAGTTAGTTGCTCAAGGTCTAGTTAGAAAAGGTGGTGTCTTACTCCAAGGCCAAGCTTCTAACCCCTGCCTCCTGCTCTGTGGTGGCCCGTGAAGAAAGACCTGAGTCTGGGTGGCTTGCGGGGACACAGCTCGTCGTGGAGCAGGGCCGCTCTCAGGGAGGCCAGCACTGTGGCGGCCTAGCAGGCGGTGGGACGTGCCGCGCCTGTTTCCTTCCTTCTGGAGGGAGCGAGTGAGACGTCAGGGTGGCAGGAGTTAGTGGCTCCACTAACTCTAATGAGAAGTTAGTCCTGCTCTTCACCCCAACACATGCTTTGTCCTTCGTGGCAAGGAGCTGGGTGTGGAAGTGGGAAAGGGGCAGTCGCGTGGGCGGCCGCATACTTGGGCTCTTATTAGCTGGGGACCCTTTGGCTTGCTGATCCCTGTCTCAGGCACAGTCTCTTTTTCTCTCCCCAGAAGAGAAGGTTATACTAGCTGACCTCAAAACAGATGCCTCTAGTTCTAACTTATTTTCCTCTGAATGCACTACTCATTTTTTGTTTTATTTTCCCTAAGAGTTCTAACATTGAGATTATCTGGGGTCTTGCCTGACTCCATTGCTGAGAAATATGGAGAGGGCTGGTTCGGGGCAGTGGTCTTCAGGGGGTGAGACAGGATTGAACTCCTGAGTCCTCCTGGATAATCTAGTCCCGACGCCCATGCTCTCCCTGCCCCGTCCCCTCTGCAGCTTAGCCCATGAACTGCGAGTGAGCTGCATGCAGAGACAGAAGGTCCTGATCCAGAGCTCAGATCCCTCTGCTTTGGCGAGTGACCGATTTAACCTCATACTGGTGAGTGGGAGGGCGCTGTGGCCGTGGGTGCCGGCGGTACAGCTGTTCACCCCCTGATGCTTAGAGGCTGAGCATTGGCTTTCATCAACCAGGTGGCATACAGGTGAGTTGCCGTTTGCTCACTGTCAGATGGCATCCTCTTGGTTTTATGGCTTCAACAAGCATTCCTGGGTTAACCTGTTAGCCGCTGCTAAGCTGGCAGGCATGCTGTGCTGTAACCTTTGTCATCTTCCATTGTTGCTGTCACTTGACATTAGAACTGGGACCCGCCACACCTTGACTGAGAACCATCACCAAGTAACTTTCCCTTGGGCGTTGTACAAAACTGGAAAGATAACCAGTGGATTGAGGGACTTCTAATACCTCCTATACTGGGCAGGATTTGGTAGCTAGACCCAAAGCTCTTGCGTCCTTGTGTATCAACAGCTTTCATTCACCTCGCTTGCTGCCCCCGGCCACAGTGTCCCTTCCTGCACACCTGTGTTCCTGGGCCTACGCACCAGCACACATCCGTCTCACCACTTGCGGGGAGTGGCATATCTTTGCTGTTGGGCAGAGCAGGAGCTAGCTGGAAACCAGAGTCAGATACTTGAGTCCAGGCACTAAAGGAGGGTCCAGAGTTTTCAGTGTAGGCAGGAGGAGCCAGACCACTCGACGATGACCTGCCCAGCAAGCTCAGTCCTTTTCCAGGCCACAAGAAAGCCAGGGAGAGTGAGAAGAACCCAGAACTAAGAGCCTCAGCCCAGTGACATACTGACTAGACTGAAGGCCGAAGCTACAACTGACCCAGAGGTCTTGCCCCAGGAGGCCTGGACAGTCAGTTTCCTTCCCTGTATGAGGCTAGGACTCATTTTTCTCCTGTGGCTTTATCCCTCTCTGTGAATTTGTGGAGTACTGTCCTGAGTGGGTTCTCCTTAGGAATATTGAATATCCTTTCTTGGTCAGGTAAGTTTGCTGAGAAACATGCTGCTTAGTATAGTCTGAGTCTGCTCCCCACACTCCGGCTTCTCACACTTCATCTCAGCTTGTTAAGCTGTGTGCTAGCCCTTGGCACATCTTCCCCCTGCACAAAGTTGCCGTCGCCGACTAGCTGCTGTGTGACCAGAGGACTGGAAAGGGCTGTTGGCCAGCCAGAGACCAATTTTTCAGATCTTAGTCTAGTCACTGGTGATGATTCTTCTGGAACATAACTAGTCTTCCAAAATAAACTTGCGGTTTCACCAGCATCCAAAACCTCGTATATGTAGGTTTATGTATTTATCAATATATAGGGTTTTTGCTTTGAAAGAATTACTAACCATGTCTTTTAATGAAAAAAATCTTAAAAATAACCCACATCCAAATGCAGTCTCTTCTGTTAAAATTTCTCTTCAGTGCAGTGTCTTTTCTTTTTTTAACTTGGTGGTATTCATAGTGCCTCCTCCTCCTCTGTATCTTCCTTTTACCCTCTTGACAGTTAATAACTATCATTTTCCACATCACCACGTGGCTTTCACAATGGCAGCATTGCCTGTTGCCCTGGACTCCTCTGAACCATTCATCAGGATGACATTGGGACTCTTCAAGACCCAGTTCTGAGTAGACCTCATTCTTCCTGGCCATGCCCCATCACTGCTCTGTGAGATGAGACTTCAGTTAGCTTTGCATGGTGATGCCTGTGCTAAGTAAGGAAGGGAAGGCTAAGTTGTCTTCTGCTCACTTGTGGGTGGGAGATCTTACCAGATAAGAAGGCACAGAATAGGGGACCCAGAGAGATGGGCAGATGGTCTAGGCAGCATGCCAGGCTCAACCTGGAAAATCACCTGCGGTCCACTTCCCCCTCCAGGCGGATACCAACAGCAGCCGGCTTTTCACGGTGAATGATGTCAAAGTGGGAGGCTCCAAGTATGGCATCATCAGCCTGCAGGGTCTGAAGATCCCCTCACTCAAGGTGCAAATGCACGAAAACCTCTACTTCACCAACCGCAAGGTACATTGCCTTTGCCTCCAGGGGGACTGCTCTCGGCCAAATTCAGAGTAGAGGAAAGAGCTTTGTGAAGATCATAGATAGGATTCCATTACTGCATTACCTCATTTCACCTTGGGAACATGAGACTTAGATCCCAAGAAGAAAAGGGCCTCAGAGGTTTCTTGTCTCAGAAGAGAAATTAATTTAGATGGGGGAAAGCTTGCAGAAGTGCATCTCCAGCTGTAAGGCCCCTCCCTCCAGGAGGAGAGGGCTCCTCCAAAGACTCCCCTGTCTGGCCAGAGTTCCTGCCAGGCAGGTGGGGAAGGCTAAACGCAGGGTCCTCCCCGTGCACCACAATGAAGCATCAGTCACTCATTCGCTGTGTCCAGTGCCGACATTGAACATCAGTATAAGGGCTTGCTGGCTAGGGACCAGCCTTTATGTTGTAGTGGGATGGTGGTTTCATCTGTAAGACCCTGTGACTTTCTGTTCAGCTGGTACTTGTGCCACCACACAGGTTGAGAAGTGCTTGTGGGTGAAGTGAGATTCAGTATGTCTTCAGAGTGGGGTTTTTCCTCTGCCATTGCAGAGAATTCATCGCTTCCCCACAGGTATACCAGGTATCCACTGTGAGGCCTGTGGCAAAGAACCTAGGCCTGGGGGTTCCTTCCTCTTTGTCCCTCTCAGAGTCTTACATGATGAGACAAGGAGCTTCCCTGGGCTCAGAATGCTTGTTACAGCCCTTTGAAAGGAGCAAGATCTGAAGAAAGTCACATGTCTAAATTGCCCAGGTTATTTTACAAGAAAGCACTTGTCTGCTTTTCTCCGTGAATTGGCAGTCAGATCACTCTTAACTAGCTGTGTGCTTCTTCACCAGGTGAACTCAGTGTGCTGGGCTTCGCTGAACCACTTGGACTCCCACATTCTGTATCTTTTGGCAGATGAAGAGGTTTGGTGGGGAGCCTGCGCCCAGATGTGGACCTGAGCTTCTGTGGGGTGAGACAGCATCTTAGTAGCCAGAAGCCTGGGCCAGGTTCATGCTTCCCGCACCCCTTAGGAAAGAGCAGTGTACCTGGGTAGAAAGCCAGGCTTCCCACAAAGCACAAAAGTAGCTACAGCCTTGTATGACACTCCTGTCACTGCACATCACCGTGTGCCAGACACTGGCCTGGAACATGAGTCAGTGCTTTAGCAGGGGGATACAGCAGGAAGGAACTGTAAAGCCTTGGGAAGACACCCGCAAATCCTCTGAAGGAAGGAGGGAGCCAGGAGCCACATTGTTGTCAGGGCACGATGGGCCTCCCAGAGGCAGCTGAGGATTGGCACCAGAGAAGGGGGCTCCATCGGCATTGACCACAGATCTGTCATTGAGGCCCTGGTCTAGGCCCCTGCCAGTGACAGCCCTTTTTGGAACCCTCCTCATTCTGGTCTGCCTTCCCAGAGAGCCAGAGGGGCTTTTACTCTAGGTGCACGGAAGAGCAGTGTCAGGGTGGCTGGGCCTTTGTGGGCTCATGCCCAGGACAACTATCCATCGTGTGCTTCAGGGAGTAATATTGTTTGCCCTAAAACCAAGACTACATGTTAATGAGCCTTGTCCTTGGCTCATGTTCAAAACAAGCAGGCTTTTGAATTATGTGCCACTGGCCCCACCCCGACCCCACTTCCTCAGCCTACATGAGGTCACGGTGGACAGCTTGGAAGGGACTTTAAAACTTAAAGTCCATTAGAGATCCAGTTATAAATTTTGGTAATAAATACAGAAAGCTATATTCAGTAAATTGAGATTTCCACATGACTTCCCTTCAGTGGGACTCTGTGTGGTGGTGGGGCCCCTGTTACTGTGAGGATCATGTCAGAGCAGAGATGTCTTAAAAAAGAAAATAAGAATCTCATTTTCATTTCTGTCTAAAATTAATGTGGCTTTTCTCATGTTTCTCTCAATGGGGTAAAGCAAGGATAAAAATCCATGGAACTAGGGGAGCAGCTGCCCTCTGGTGGTTATATCGGGTAATCTTCAGACTTTTGTGTAGCTGCTACTGCTGAAGGTGGTGAAACTTTTTGTCCCTTTACAAAAATGACATCTTGTTCAGACCTGGCTCAGCATTTTTTCCCCCCCAAAGTGGTTGGAGACTAGGCTGAATGCTTTCTGAGCTCTTAGTTAACCTGCAGCCTAGGATTACTATCCCCATAAGCTCCACACCAAGTTTTAGCCACAGCCACTGATAGTACTCCAGGGTGCTCCAGGGTCTGGACTCTCTTCTCTTATTCTTGCCCTCCAAACCCAGAAGCAAAAGAGTAGAGTTGAGGAAGGAGTAGAGCTAGCCAGCTGCAGAGTTCTCATTTATAATTTCAGTAGCCTCCATACTAGAAATGTTCAGTATGGAACTTGCCACCCAAGACAACAGGACATTCTCATGCATCACACCTTCCAATAGGTGGGCAAGACTGTGGCTGGGCTGCTTTGCAAATGTGGGTAATTGTTTGCAGTTCAAAATATTATTTTAAAAGGTCGATTTCTGGAGTATTTGCATCTCTCTAGGAGGGATATATGTATGTTTATTCCACATCTGTTAAGCATTCACTGTCCCCATGCAAGGTGCTGGAGATGGGCACCTCAGCAGTGATTGGTCTATTCAATGATACTGTGAGGCATTTGGGTATGAAAGAGGAATCGGGGCAGCCTTTTTGGAGGCGATTACCAAATGGGAGTGAAGGCTTGGCGCTCCCATGGGAAGAGTCAGGAGGCTCGCACATCTGGTAGCTATGTGGTTTGGCCGCCTCGATGTTCCAGCCAGACAGTGCCTTGCAGAAATGAGTCCTCGTGGCTGTGCAGTGCAGAGAGCAGCTTGGGCGATAGGCTGCCCAGGGGGAGACTTAGGCGGAAGGCTGCTGTGACACTAAGGGCAGTAAGAGGGCCTGAGCTGAGGAGCAGGACTGGCGAGAGCACAGACTCAGGCCTTGGGGTCTAGGCCTGTGCTTCCTGGAGACAGAAGAAGGCCCGCGGTGGGACTCTGAGAGAATGGCGTTGTGGAAGCCATGAAGAAGCAGTTAAAAATTGTGCTACATGGATGGCCATGCAGCAAAACTGGGACGCTTTCAGCAATTAGAGGCTATGGGCTCACTGGAGTCCTTCAGGGAGGACTTTTCCTGGGAAAGATGAAGGTGAGGCCTGGATTTCAGTGGGTAGAAGAGAAAAAGAAAGGCAAGGATGTGGGGATAAAGAGACTTGTCTAGAAAATTTGGAGAAAGGGAGAGGAAACCAAATCAATCAGAAGGCAAACAGTTCAGTAGAAAAGTTTAAAGATGTAAAGAAAGCCCAGATGACTATCATCAAATGAATCAACAAATCCAGTTGATTTGCAGATTAAAATAATAATGAGATGTTATGTCATATCCATTCAGGTAAAGTAAATTTTAAAGTCTGGTACAGTTAAGCGTTGGAGTGTGTGGGAAAGAGTCGCTGTAACCGCCACGCCAGTGGGGTGAAGATGCACCTCCCCGGCCTGCAGCGCTGCTGTAGTGCAGATGCCGGAGCAAGTCACCCCCTCAGGCCGCTGAAACACATTTACCCAGCAGCTTTTTTTTTTTTTTT